TGTAATTACCAAACTTTAAGGGAAGTTTCAACAACGGTCAAAAAGTTCAAGGGGTTTCAACAATTTACCCTTAAATTAATGAGCATACATTCCAACAATTTTTAAACTCAATTAAAACTTTTCCTAAAAKAAGTTTTTTCTCAAAACATTCCCTTAAATGAGATTAAACATTCAGATAAAGTTAAAAGAGATTAAATGCATGGAAACAAATTATCATTTAGCATATTAGCAAACATAAGTAATTACTATTATCAAATTAGGAAACATGATTGAACTTAATCAAAGGGAAACCCAGATTAGGAAGGCACATTTTGTGAAACCATGTATGGAGAGGACTCAGCTAAATTTCCTTATGAAAATTCATACTTTCATAAAATGCAATTTCTAGGATAGAGAAACAGGTTTATATATCCACCATAAAAGTATTTATTGTAGTGTGTAAATGTTGCACACCCGGCTGTACTATTGTAGATATTGCATTGATTTGTTCTGCAAACAACAATATTGCATCCCATAGTGTACAGTACTTGTAGTATAATGGGCATTATTGTATCACAACAATGCTAAAAGAACTTTAAGAGAGAAAAATGTCAATAAATTGACTATATTTTTTATTTAGCATTCAGAGTTTTTTTTTTCTATTTTTACACAAGAAAAGGAAGGGCATCACTTAATTACAAGTTTGAGTCATATTCATTGTATACTCCCTGAATTTATGGTAAATAATTAGTAAAGAAAAGGTGAATAGAAAAAGGTAATAAAGAGTTTTTTTACATTCTAAAAACATAGAAACTATGCCCTAAAAAACTGTAGCAATTTTCAAAAGAAATATTATCTAAAACACACCATGACTTTTTCACATCTCTTAAACTCACCAATCATCATGACTTTTCAAAACCTCTAGAGAACCCTATATCAGTGAATTTAATTGTCCAAAGCTCACCTTTCGTTAAGCTTTCCATTAGATCACTATTATCGACCTTTAACATAAATTGTTCACATAAGCATTTAAATATTTTGCACAACCAAACTACCCCTAAATGGCCAATCAAGTTTATTAAATAATTTTTTATAACAAAATTACCAATGACTTGGGTCCAAGCCTATACTAGGCTAATAAATTTTTGAGTCAAACCTCGGCATAATATTTCAAGCCAGCCTAAGCCTAACCCAACCTACATATACTTAAAATATATATGCATAATTATTATATATGAGCAATCAGGGATAATTTTGTCATAAAAATATTTAATAAGGTTGATTGGCCATTTTTGGGTTAGTCTGGTCATGTAAAATACTTAAATGCTTACACCTTCTTTTATTGCTCACTAATGGTGACAGGCTCTTTGAAGTGAGTTTTGAAAGCAATAAAAATATTTATTGCTCACTAATGCTAATTTATTAGCACAACCCGCATAAACATGGTTAAATATGTAAGTAATGAATTTATCATACAACCCATTACAATTCATTAATTTTATTCATTCTTTAACATTCCTTTTTAAACCCTTATCCTATATTAGGTTTGAAAGAAAACTATTGTGAAATTTATATTAAACCAATAAAAACCTTATGGATTAAAGTAGGAAAATGTACCAAAACACCAAAATCTAAACCAATTTTTTTGAACCCAAAAAATAAATTAATTGTTATTACACATTAATCTAAACCAACATTTACTTATGTTTTTAAAATATTATTTAGTTATTAAATTAATTAAATAATCCATAAAATAATAATTTATATTGTTATTACATAATTTTATTATGAATTTCATAAAAATATAAAATTATTAATAATATAAATATGGAGTTAACAGATATCACTTTTTCTAAGAATAGATAAACACATGCAAAAAATAAAAACTTTATTAAAGTGTAAAAAAACCATTATATAAATATTCATTTTTTAGAAGATAGATTGCCATTTGTTTAAAGTAGAAGCCCCCTAATACAAGGGTTTTTCTTTAATATATACAAAAGACATTAAATATGGAGCTTAAATTAGTGTGACATATTTCAAATTAAGTTAATTAAATTGGATGAATGTATTTAAAAGATTGTATATGATTGGCTAATATTGTATTACGTAATGAGCAAAAAAAAGTCAAAGGGTATAGTAGTGAATTCAACTTCAACTTTAGTCTCAAGGCATATTCAGTTCAAGTTTAAATCTCCTACCTACGTCTACCCACATATCATTGCAGCCACATATGAAGAACATCTCATCTTTCTACATAGTATTATGCATGGGAATAGTGTTTTGGGTAGACGTGGGCAAAGTTATCGTGGGTAGGAGATTTGGAGTCGTTCAGTTCAATTTTACCCAAACGTTAATTTCAATTTTACTTGGTTCTCGTTGAGTAAGAGTCTAGAACTTCACAAAATCCATTGGTTACATATCACATTATTTTATTTATATTAACCATTGTCATTACATATCATATCATGCGGTGAGACAATTGACAACAATGATAAATTACTAATACCCTTTCTAATACACCAATAACATAGTTGACTATTATAGTCCTGATGCTTTAGAACCACTTTTTCTTGTTATGACCAAATGCCATGTTTATATCCTCAGCTATGTTCTCTGCATCCATGGACACCCCTGCAAGACCTCTACTTGAAAACCCAGCAAAGTAAAGACCATTCTTCCCTTTCCATTGGTTGGGAAAAGGTGTCTTAGGCATCCCGTTATCATTTAAGAGGTCACCATCCACCTGTCAAAGAAAAAAAATGCTAGATTAATTCCAAAAGAGGAAGATAGACATGCTTTTATTTCTCTAAAGTAGGAAGCTCTGTCTTATGTTTGGAAGGGTTGTGAGCTCAAAACAACTAAAAACAATGAAGTGAATACCTCAAGCCAGTCCTTGATTGTGGTCTTGAATCCAGTGGCAAAAATTATATCATCAAATTTCCACACTTTGTCGTTCTCAAATGTCACATTGGTTCCTTCAATTCTCGAAATCCTTGGGAAAACCTACCCATAATTATAATAAATAAGTCTAAAAGACAATTAAGAAACTTTGACAATATGAGAGGATGTAATACTACATGGGTAATAAGTACCTTGATATCTTTATTCACGATCAAATCCATTGTTCCAACATCTAAAACAGGAGATCTTCCAGTGGTTTGTTTGAGATGAAATGGACCCTTTTTAGGTCTAACAATCCCATATCTTGATAAGTCCCCATACTGCAATTTGGAAAGCATGGTCACCAAATTGTCCACGAAAAACATTGGAAGGAACTTCAATAGATTCATCCCCAAATACACCATCTCTCGAGAGAGAACATGAACCTGCATCAATATTAATTCAAATTAATACAATCAATAAGTTATTTCAGAAAGAACATTGTAATATCCACTATCATACCGGACTCTGAACAACTATGGATGTTTTTGCTCCAAAATAGGCAAGATTGAAGGCAATTTCCATGCCAGAGTTCCCAGACCCAACAACCAAAACATCCTTACCAACATATTCTCTCCCTGATTTGTATTGGCTAGAGTGGATAAAACTCCCCCTAAAGCTGTCTAGACCAGGAAACTCAGGGATATAACCTTGGCTGTTTTCCCCAGTTGCCACCACCAAGAACATGGCTAGATATACTTCATCCTCATTGGACACCTTGTTCTTAGCAACAACATTCCATTGTCCACTGGCTTTGTCATAAAAAGCTGATTCAACTGTCCTACAATACCTTGGGCAAAGGTTAAAATGGGATACATATTCATCCATATATTGGATGAAACTATTCTTAGTCATAAAGGTTGGGGTGGTTGATGGATGTGGCATGTAGGGAAGGAAAGAGAATTCCTTTCCCAGATGGAGTTTAAGGCAATCATAAGACCTTTTTTTCCACAGAGAAGAATGGCAATCCTCTCTTTCCAAGATTACATTAGGGATGGAAAGGTTGTTTAGGCATACAGAAGTTGCAAGTCCAGAAGGTCCAGCCCCTATTATCACTACTGTTACTTCTTCCATTTTGGTTTTTACGACTGACTAAATTCAAACAAATAGCTCTATATATGTATATATATATATATATATGTAAGTAAAAAAATGAATACAAAAAAGATACTTGTTTTAGATTCACTACTTTTGGCAAATAGTAGAAATTTAAAGTTTTCTTTTCTACTGTTGGGATTCCACATTTAATAAGATTCTATTCCCATTCTTTTAGGATAAGTTTCTTTTCTTTCTTTCTTTCTTTTTTTTTGTATTTCATATTAGACATTACATGGGGATTAAGGGGTGGGGATACCATAAATATCTGGTAGTCAAAAGCCATAAATTGCTCTTCATTACCTATTACATCAATCTTTAACTTGATGTTTGCCTCTAACTCAATCCAAATTATCCTTGCAAAGTAAGTAATTCATTAAATATTCCTTTTGATTGCAAAAAACCAATGTGGTAGATCACTTTTAGCAAAATGTAAAATCATGGAAAAATATAATATAGGGATATATGCGAGGTTTAAACAATTTGATTAGCAAAAAACTATCAAAAATGAAAATAGAAAAATGCATATAGGGGATTAATGAAAAATATAACATAACAAAACTGGGAATACAATTGAACTGCAAATGTCATTAAATATGTATATTAGCAGTGATTATCATGGAAACCAAATAAAATTGGATTGAAGACCATTTTAACTAATAATACATTGTCAACAAGAGGTAGTTATGAAAAAACATATACTGATACATATTATATTTTAACAATTCATCATCAACATTTAAACCTTATCCTAACTATATGGGGGTGTCTACATGAATCCTATTTTACTATTGTATTTGTTTAGTGTCATGTTCTGACATCCACTATTAAATCAAGGGTAAATTATTGAAACATTTCCTAAAGTTTGATAATTACAATCACCTTCCCTCAATTTTCAGACACAGTTGCAAGTGGATCATTCTGTTAGAATCCTTTGACAAGAGGCACGAAAATGTCCAAAGTACCCATGATGTTATTTTTTGACCAAAATGTTTGTTTTTCGAATCTTTTCTTCATATCAATTGCTACCCCAAATCTTTTCAATCTCTTTTTCAAAGTTGATTTATTTTTCAAATTTGCCCTTGATATCAATTGGTCAATGATAAAGCTACAACTTTAAATTCTCTTTATTGTCGAGTTCATAAAGTTTGTATTATTTTTTTTTGTAGAAGCCAACCCCAATAGTAACTGCATGGGTATTTTAGACATTTCCGTGCCTTTGTTAGAGGATTCTAATACAGAGGTCTACTTGCAATTGTGTCAAAACATCAAGGGAGGTGATTGTAATTACCAAACTTTAGGGAAAGTTTGAGCAACGATCAAAAAGTTTAGGGGGGCTTCAAATAATTAATATGAAGAAAAATTTCTCACGTGCAACACATGTGCTTAATTACTAGTACATACAAAATAGTACAAAATATGAAGTTTTGCACTCTAATACAAAATTTGTATTTGTACTCTTTCCAAACTGAGCCTTTATTATTTGACTTGGGGCATTGTTTGGTTCAATGATAAAATCTTGGGTTAACAAGTTGGAGAACAAGGGTTTTAGTTCAAGAATAAAATTTCACACCAGATCAAGGTGTATTGAATCGATATGTATCATACCAGTGACTCTCCGATATGCCCTACAAGTTAAATTAAAATCATTTTAAGTAGTGTAAGAAAAAAAGACAGAATTATTTTAAGCCAAAAGATAGTATTTCATTCATGCTGCTCAGAACCAACCGAGGGCTGACTCGTTGGTGTATTAGCTGGTTTGTTCCAGTGTTGATGCAGAGTCAAATATCACAATTAACACTTTGGGGAAAAGGGGTCAAGGGAGAAATTATTAATGGTGCATGGGTCCGGAATACCAAAAAAAAATCATGCTGTTCAGAATACATATCAGAATAGATTATTGTTTTGGGGAAAGAGGAGTTAAGGATCAAGTATGACAATGGTCAATAGAGAGCAAATTTAGCAATTTTTTTAGCCATTTCAGGGTGTTCGACGACATCATTGGTTTTGTTTGGAAAATAAGTTGCCACATCAGCAAAATTATATTGTTTTTTTGCTGATGTAGCAGTTGTTTTTGTTGCCACATCAGCAAAAGTTGGCCCCCATTGTTTGAACGCACAACATGCTGACTCAGCAATAGGAGAATTTAAAAGAAGCATCCTGCAGTTCCCAATGATAATAATAATTTACCAAGGAGGTTCATAATTCTCCTCCAGTAGGGTTTGACAAGAACAAGAGCATCTGCCTCCCAGGTTTTCTGGAAAAATATGATACCAGAAAAACTTACAGCCAATCAATTCTAGTGGTCAAAGCTGTTCCGGTATTATAGATTTTTCCCTCCCTCAAACATTATCGATGAAAGTTGCAGGTCAAAGAAAATCAAAGCAAAGTAAAGAAGAGATTTATGTACGTAGTTTGAGTCTTCTAAACTATTTCTTTCCTTTTTTTTTTTTCATTTCATTGTCGGGTGGGTAGGGTGGAGGGTGTTGATTAGAAGGTTGAATATTGAGCAATTAAACAAGAACATATTTGGTTCTCATTGAATAACATATATGGAAAAATCACAGAATCTATCTCAATTTGCAAGCTTTGCATATTAATTAGTGGGGGGGGGGGGGGCAACAATTAGTGCATCTTATAGGGCTCCCACTTCATTTATAATGGGCATTTGCAAATGTTCCTAAAACGCACCTACATGAAAATGAACTATTCTGGCGAGGGGATAGCTACAAAACCATTGAAGCTCAATTTGGAAAGAGTACAAATATGTATAGTGTAAATATAAGATTTAAAATATAAAATACAATGTTATATTTGCATATTGTAGATTTCTGTATTTGTAATAACAAATAAAATTCACTTCATATGGCTTCAAACACTAAAGATACCATTTGGAAGGAATGCAAATACAAATATGTAGAGCGCAAAATCTTGTATTTTATATTATTTTGTGTCTATTTTTAATTTATATATTTGTAATTTATACTAAAGGTTATGCTATTATTATAATTCACACATACTTTAAAAATGTGTATGGGAAGCTGTTTGTAGAAAGTCAATTTGACTTTTAATAAAAACAGCAATGGTACTAATCGTCTGGTTGAAGTGAGCCCATGCTGGTGTGAGAATATACACCTCTCACCTATTTGTATTGATCAACCCAAGACATTTCAGGTAAAAACAATGGTACGAAATCAAATGGAATTGTGTAGGTATGCACTACAAGAAAAAATTGTCTAAGGTGGCGGTCGCAAAACCGCCTTAGATTAGGCCTATGCCGGTGATCATTCGTCCACCGCGTAAGTGGGTGCCGCCTTAGATTAGGACCACCGGCTTACGTAGGAAAAACCGCCGCCTTTTTCCCTTGGTCCGATGCGGTTCAAAGTTCTCTAAGGTGTGGTGGTCTTCTAGACCGCCAGCTTCGCCTGATTAAGCTGGTGGTCTAGACCGCCGCCTTTGGTTTTATTAATGGGTAAGCCAGCGAACATTGAACGCTGCCTTAGGTCCTGTGTGACACCATTTCCCATCTTGTTCATAGCTAAACTGGCGGATAAGGACTGCCAGCATAGACCTTTCTTTTGAAAAAAAATTATATGCTTACTTAATTTCAGCATTTTTTATACCTGCCCTTTTCCAATGATTTAGCATCTTAATGTACCTACGAAATCCTATAATTGATACATGAAAACTTTGATAAATAAAAAATGTAATTTAAAACATCTAGTAATTTAAAGATTAATTACATTAAAAAATCCAAAAAACAAATTATTCAAATACAACATCCAATTGACATATCAACACTACAAGAACCTCAAAAACTTCCAAACTTTCCAACGATATCCAATTGACATATTAACCATACAAGCCATTGGTAATGATAGTTGTCTTCCTTTTGAATGTTCAACTTTGGAATATTTCTTGAATTCCTTCACCGTTTCCTACGAGTCAAGCATTAGAGTGTTAGCAACAATTTTCATTCAATAGATGTATTAAAATAATAATTTCTTTCATCACAAATCAAACAAATACCTTGATGCCTCCAACTAATCACACACTTAACCACATTAACTATGCATTGGAAATTGATAGCTCCACGTATAACCAGACCTAGAGTCCTGGACCTTATCAAATGCATGATTTACAGCTCTTATGAGGTTCACACCCAGATTTGAGACCTGGAATTCTAGACTCCGATCCAAAACCCACCAAATGCCAAAATAAATTAGGTATGTAGAGATTGGGAATATCCTATTGCAAAGCATTGAAACATAAACTTCATTATATGCATACAATTAAAGACAAAAGAAAAGATATACTTCATTATATGCATACAATTATGATCTGATCCCTCATAAGCTTCAAGGTGGAGTCAGAATTTGGACTTTCGTATTCTCTCCTCCATATATTGTACCTTCCCTTGGCTATAGTGTTGAGCTATTTGGATTGTTCAATTGTTGCTGCTTGCATTTGCTTTTTAGACTCTTTGTTCTGGTGGATGAGCTCTGCAATTTGAAGTTCCCTCCTTGCCCGTCGTAGTTTCTGCAAAACTAAAAAACATGACCACCCTGAATCCATTGTCCTAAAGATATTTAGAATTTGTGATTAGAAGAATTTAACAGTTCACCTGTCGCTGGAGCTTTATTGGGTTCATTGTGATGGTTGGTTGATACTGCATACCTCCATCCTTGAATTGATGTTCATCAGTAGAAAGCTCACTTCTGTCATCCATTCCACTCATCACATGTTGAAATGAATCTTCTCTTGCCTGAAGAAAGCAGTAAGATGGAAACAAATAGCAGTGTTATTAATACAAAAGGAAAATGTAGTCAAATCAAAATTTTAGACATATATTCTAGACATTACAACCTATCATATTTTAATTGGTATGACCTATTTAAGGTATACAAGGATGACATGACCATTCCAGAGAGTCCATAGAAAGGAGACCAGTGGATTTGTCGAGCATTCACTTTTGTACTGGAGCTTCCCAAAGTAACATTATCTTTCCGGAGTTCTCATTTTTCAATTCTAAGAAATGCCTACAACAAAAAGCTTATTTTGGACATTTGGAAACTGGAAAAAGCTTCCTGGTTGAAAGTTGCCCCATGAATAGCACAATTCAACAAGTACATGTGAGGCACCACCTCCTTATAATTGAGCTAGTAGGTGGGCTTTTCTTTTATTCTTTTTACCGTAAGTCCAAATATCTATACATGTTTACTTGGCCTTACCTGTTTTAGAAACTCATAAAATTTGGCATTATTTTGGGGTGGTACTAATATTTTAAATTTTTAATTAACTTCCAAGATTTGATTATATCAATGCCTTTATCTTTTATTCTAGGTTGTTGTTCATGTTTCCAAGACTAGGGTCACTTATACCAATTCTATTAACATTGAACTAACCCAAACAAATGGCAGTTCAAGATCTTATAACTAATGCACCTGAACTGATCAATGGTGTCTACGTGATATCATAAATGAATCAATTCTAAAAAAAAAATTGAGGGTACACACAGTATTTTAGAAGGTAAACCTGGGTTCACAATCAAGGCTCATTGTTAGGTGTACTTTGCCAGACTTGTTGCTATGTTCTTTTTAATCAGTAACAGTAAAGCTTTGTTATAGGGAAAAAAAGGAACAGAAAGTACAATGTTCAAAGAACAACCAACACCCATGGAAAAAAAAACCATGAAAAATTAGGGCAGGGCCCTTGGCTGCTCCCCACCTACAATTTAAATGTAGTATGTAATAGACTACAACATTCTTTTTCTTTTTGATTGTTAATCATTGAATCTTTATTGGTATTGAAAAACGAATGTATAGGCAATCAACAACTAAGGATCGATCCATTGTTAAGCTAGCCTAAGCTACCCAGTCCCTAAAGAGTCAGACAAACAACTAAAATGAGAAAGGTCCATAATAAACACACCAACTGATAAAAAAAGCATACCTACACATAGGCCCCATCACCACTCAAACACATCAATAGTAAGGAAAACACAACTAGAATGAGAAACATGCGCACTGTGCAATTACAGAACAACAATTCGTTTATTCAAATTTGTAATTTTTTCCCTAACAAAAAGACAGGTTTTGAATTGTGGAGGAAGAATAAGAAGGGTACTGCAAAAAGCTTTCTAAAATAGTCTGGAAACAGGAAAGTATTGCCCACTTCATGTCAGTAAACAATAGGCACTGGATACTAAAATGGCTAAATATAATGGAGACAGAATTTCACTTAGTGAATGTATAAAACAAAGCATGAAACGTTTCTGTTGCTGCATTGCTCACAATCATGCAGGGGCCAATATCCTTTGAGTTCCCTTTGACTGAAAGAGCATAGGCAAAAAAAAAAAGAGTATATTACAAAGATTAGTAGGTTTAAATCTCTCCAAAAATATGTATATAAATTTGTAAAATATACTCTTTGAATATCTGCAATAATAGACATGTTTCTGAGTGGTCTTACATTCTTGCTACCAAATTCCTTCAAGTTTAAAGTGGTTAGAAATTTGGAGAACAAATACTTAGTTCAAGAGAGTTTTGATACAATATGACTTATCAAATTGCACAATGTCTATTAAATAAAAGAAGGGTAAATCATCTTTTGATTCCTCAAATTAAGGCTTGAAGACATAGGGAAACAAATCCTAGAATATTATATCTAAAACAACCTTAAAGCCTTGAACACTTGAAGAACTAGCTTCTTATTTACGATAAATGCAAAACACAAGGCAGTCCACTAAAAATTCTGGTCATACCAAAATGTAATTGAAGTTAATAATTCTGAGCTGCTCATGCATATGAGTAAAAGTACTAGAAATAAATGTAAAAGGGGGAAAACTTACCTGTTTGCGCTCAGATTCTTTGGTTTATCGTGTACAACATCAAATTTAGGTTCATATCTTCTTAGAACTACAAAGGTTAGAGCCCGTAGATAGCAGCAGCAGTTTACATATGACAACTGGTTTGGATGTCTCCCAACAATGCATATCCTTGCAAATGATTGAACATCACCTCATACATGATATAGTAGTAAATAATTAACTTGAATAAAAAATTGATCAATGATTTCAAAAATGATACGTATCAGATTAAATAAAAGAGTGGGGAAAAAACTATTATGATCAATTATAAGTGGAGGAAGAAACAAAAAAAAAAAAAACAAGAGATTGAATATATATTACCCAGTTAGGTCAATGATTGGATTTCTCGCTTCAATCCCTCATGCTTGAATGAGCCTCGCTTCTAGAGGTTGTTTCGATTAGAACTCCCAAATTTATTTGGGTCTTTTCAGAGTAGAACTCCAAGCGGTGTGTGGGGGTGGATGATTGATCACTTCGGGTATTAATTGTTAGAAAATATTTCCTGAACCGCTAAGTAAGTTGCAAACCACACCGATCTTTCACGGCTCGAAAATCCCTTTTTTTGAAAGAAATGATTCGGTCTCAGATTTTTGATAAACCCTTGCTCAAGTCATATGGATCAGTTTAGGCACTTGGATGACACAAATCTCCTCTAGATTTATTACTTGTACTGCTAATAGCTAAGATTCGCGATCAGTTGTAGGAAACAAAGAAGGTCACCGGCTGGTGGTGCTTTGTAGACCGCAGAAGAAAAAAAATGATGTTGTCGCAGTCCCTTGAGTGATTGATTCGGTTGAGTGGATTGGAAACACTCGAACATGACTCGAACTGGGGCGTCAGAGGAAGATGATGGCGGGGCGTAGCCCCTTCTGCCATGATTGACCATCGACGACAGCAATGGTTGTCGGGGCAAGAACTGATTGGTCATGCTCTATACCCATTTCCTCTGATGTTCAGATTGAAAAAAAAGCCGCGTAAGTGGGCAAGAACTTGAGTGACCAATTAGGAGAAAAAACCCTACATCTTCGTCGCTCTCTCTCTCTCTACTTGAAACTCTCGTCTCTCGAGCAAATGAGAAACTACTCGGTGAAAAAACCCTCTCTCTCTGATTGGAAACACTCGAACATGACTTGAACTAGGGTTTCACTAAAATGAAAGCAGTCAGAGAAAAAACCCTCCATCTTCGTCGCGCTTTCTCTCTCTGCTTAAAACTCTCGTCTCTCGAGCAAATGAGAAACTGCTTGGTGCTACTTCTCTTTCCCCATTCGAACCTTCGCCAAAAACCTAGGATCGAAGAACTTTTGAATTCATGCGGAAAAAAAAATTGGATTTCCCGCGGCTGCGTGATTTTATTCGACCGGTTTAATTTTAAAACTGTCGCGTCTGTTCTTTTAGACTGCCGCGTTTATTCTCGAACCCAATATAGGCGGCGGTCTATTTAAGACCGCCTCCTTAGATATCACTATAGTGGCGGTCATTTAGACCGCCGGGTCTAAACCGCCGGCTTAGACCGATTTTCTTATAGCAGTATAAGCAAAGGATAGAGTTGTTTATTTCTGAAATCAAGGAGGGAATGAGTTCTAAATAGGATGAATCTCTAAAAGCAATTTTTAATAGGATCAATTCCCTTTTTGATAATTTTCCAACCAAACCATTAAAAGAATATGATTTTGAATATATAACAAACAATTTACTCATTTTTTTCCTTGAGACATGAGGTGAAAGTAAGAATACCGCATATGCTAAACCGGTTTGGTAGATCATCTTTGAGGGGTGGCCCTTAACAAGTAACTAGGAATGACAATGAGGAGGGTTTGGGGAGGGATCATACTCTCCATCCTTGTCCCAAACTTTGAAATAAATTCCCATCCCTACCTCGATCCTTATCATGGACTTGAATTTCTGCAATTTTTAAATTAAAATCATTTTTAGAAAATAGATTTTATTTAAAATAAAAGATTTTTTAAATAAAAAAATACTTTAAATATATTTTGATATATATAATATAAATAATATCATAATTAAGTAAGGTGTCACTATCAATCCCCATCCTTACCTTGCCCTCGCCAACGTAATTTGCATCCCCGACCCAATACCCTATTGGGTCAGGGGAGCTGGATACCCAATGGGGACATGAAAAATTGTCATCCCTACAAATAACATTTAGAGCTATAAACAGATGAAGCTGCCCTTGGAAACAATGCAAATGGAGTGTAAATCCTGGTTCGGGGTAAATTTGCACTCTGGTTCACTTTTGCTTATGTTTGGCAACATTACATTTATACATTGACAAATGACAGACCAATGCATATTTACATTGATAATAAGATGTAAAAGTACATCAATAAAATAGAATTAAATTTGCAATCAAGTGGGCTTTGAATTCATGTCTGCATCCATTACAATTAAAAATCTGTTTAGTAAGAAGGTAAATTTGTTAGTGCAAAACTAACCCAATTTTGCAATTTATATGAACCGCTTTACACTACATATTTTTATTGTTTCCAAATGCAGAAATAGGATTAAATTCAGATAGGGGCATATCAAAATCCTATCCATAATTATATAAAAAAAATCCTATGCTTAAGAATCCAATAATTTTTTTTTTTCTTTTAGGTAAAACAAACTCAATTTAGATTGCATTTGGCGTGCCTTATTTTAAGGACATATCTCCTTTTCGCAGTCAAAATTCTCCTATGAACAATGAGTTTTTAACAACAAAAAGAAGATAAGTCTTTAAAATAAGGAATGCCAAATGCATACTTAATATCCAATGGATATATAAGACACATTCAATTTGATAAATGTGTATAGAAATAGCATAAATTTATAAAATTAAATATAAAACAAAAATATATACTATAAATATAAAAAGTAGGTTTATCTAAATCCAAAATCCACTTAATATTCTAAAGAACTTTAATACTAAAAAGTATTTTCTGTATCCATGTATTAACCTATTATATATAGATAGATAGATAGATAGATAGATAGATAGATAGATAGATAGATAGATAGATAGATAGATAGATAGATAGATAGATATAGATATACATCTATTATATAAGCTTCAAAACTATGATTTCAAACCCTAAAACCTAAGTGGCTTAAAATCATTTTTAAAGTAACACTTACCAAATGCTCAAAACACTTTTTTTTTCACAATTTTGCTTTTTACATTCCCAAGCTCAAAAGCAAAAGCTTATCCAAATAGATTGGTGATTGTTTATGGACTGTTATTTCTTAGCCCTTATTTTTTAGGAATCGAGCATCCCCTTTCAATCAGTTGCCTTATTTAGGAAAACTGGAAAGATTCCCATTCATTAATTTATCTAAACCAAACAAGAGCAGGATTAAAAGATTTTCCACCTAACAATTATGGCTGCAAAAAGATCGAATCAAACATGATATAGGTAGATTCAAATTTGATTTGTTTATATCAAATTTGAATTGGTTCTTACCCATCAGATTTATATTGAATTCGGATTGCAATGAGATATCGAATAGTGTTAATAAATTTAAATAAAAATAACTTTAATATTATATTTCATGAACAAAATGAGTTGAAAATAACTTATATGAAACTTGAACTTGCAACAATTTACTAAAGATATTTATCAGATGGGTAAGTGTGGATCCATATTTTGTCCAATTATAAACGGATTGAATTAGAATTCTAGCAAATGGATACGATTTTCGGCCTTACTAAATAAAAAGCGTGAAATAAATGGTTGAGGCAATTTCACACTGCTGAATCTTAAATTGAACCCCTTTGTTTGTTTTTTTCTTTTTAAATTTTAATTGGACCCCCCCCCCCCCCCCCTTTCTTGGTGGTCTGTTTCCACAAATTTCCAATAAATGTATAAAATACATTATCATATGCTTTTGACACATTTCTCATATTTATTAAATAGACATAAAACCCTCGAATCAATCACTAGTCCTCATAAAAGAATGAAGGAAGAAACAAAAAGGATCCCCTCTTTCAAAGCTTCTTTTTTAAACAGCTGAGGTTGATAAACAATCAGTTAAGCACTTAAGCTCTTGATGATAAGTATGGACGCAATTAAGTGGCTGGGGACATATTGAACTACAATCAATCAATTCATGTAACAACTAAAATAGAGCTTAGACATATTTGGCCCACCCACACTCAGTCTAACCCATCATCCAATCCAATCCACCCTTTACCCCAACCGAAATGGATTGTCAACCCATATAAGAATACAAGTAGATAGATGGGTTATAAGTAAAGGCTTCAAAAGGGCCCATGGGTGGCAACGTAATAAAAAAAAGACAACAAGTTCTGTGGGCAATAGGTGTAATGAATTTCTGGTCAAATTAAGAAAATTCTTAGCTGTCATAAGATTCCTATTAGCAATTCTTTTAGCTAGCTCTTGACATTAATTATATCCTATGGAATTTTAGTTAATTTTCAATGAACAAAATCCCCGTGTTTGTGATCCAAATTTTGGTATTGTTTTGGTCTCAAAATGAGAAAGGAAACACATATTTGCAGGACAAGCTGCTCTTCTCAACATTATTTATTAATAGAGAGAGAGAACATAATTGAATGGGTGCCAGTTAAGAGTTTGCTTCATTTGACTATAGCATCATTGTGATAAAATTGCTATTAAAGCTCAATTAGGAATAAATACAAATACAAATATGGACAATATAAATGCATACAAAATAATATATTGCACTTTATATATTTGTCTTTGTACACCTTCCATAACATCAGATTTCTGCATTTCTTTGGGATTTTTCTTTGGCTTTAAATTTTATACCATCGACATGAAATTTAAAAAAAATGAAGTCCAGTAGTTCTGTTAACTAGTTGTTTAAGCTTTAAAGTTTAAATTAATAAATCTTTGGCTTGTTTTCAATGGTAGATCCTCACTATAGTGCGCACTGACGCACTAGGCACCATGTAAATGGGTGTTCTCTGCTGTATACAGTATCTAGGATCTAGAGCTTTTGTTGGTTAAGAATCGCTTAACCAAATCTTAACCATGGTCCAAATGGGGTTCAACCTCTAGGATTTCAACTCATGTCATCTGATGAGTATCACGAGATGAAATACAAAACAGTGTACATAGAAAAAGTTATTAACCCATTTCATGCCTCTGTAATCCAGATAAAGCTGAAGCTGTTTGATTGTCTCCACCACCGAATAAAGCACTAGAGTTAAAAAAGAATCACAAGATGTTGTCTTCTTCCTCTATTTTATTTTTTTTAGCCAAGTCTGTGAGTGTTAATGAAAAAGATCCCCATATTCCATTTGTTACATTCTGCATAAAATTCTCCACCGACCTTTTCTTCTCTTTCACCCTAAAAGCTAAAATAGTTCCCACTTCTCATTTCGATGAAGCCAGAATCACAAGTTCAGAACAGATTTTTTTTGGGTAAGTGTATTCCGAAAATGGTATCTGTTGGTCTGAATTTAAATTTTAATCCGATTCGCTTAAGGGTGATCCAAATTCAATTCATTCATATAATGAATCTGACATGGATCTACCGCTATTCAATTTGATCTCTTGACATTTAATATCTACATCTAGATCTAGATCTGTTGACCACAATGCATTGTTGGCCACATTCACCCAATTGCACATCGGGATAGATAAATATAAGAGATATTCTCAATGTACAGCAAGATAAACGTGGACAGCAATACGTTGTGGTCATCACATCCAAACTCAGAACTTTATGCCACCTTTGGGGCATAAATTCTAATAGCATTTGAATTGGGACCATTCATGTCTATTGAATATTCTGTTCTGGCCTTGTATGAGGGAGGAAGAGTTGGTCTGCCTCCACAGGCTGCAATCGATCCAGTTTGGAATATTGCTTGCCTCCTTTTTCTATTGTGCAGGAAGGGTTTTAATCGAGAAGAACTTTTACCAATCAGAGCCCCTGAATTTTGATAAAAATTCAAATATATAACTAAATCGCCTGGTCAGGGAGGCTGAAAACTCGGCTGGAATGTGAAAATTTGTCATTTTTACCCCTGGATTATGTATTTCCATAGCGTAATAAGTTTTAAGCTTAATAAACCTTAACAAAATATTGAACATAATACTCAAGGATCAAAATAGTGATATCAGAGGCTAAAACCAAGGTCACTTATGCATTAATATGCAGAGTTTGGAGGTTATGCATGTTTGGAATGATATAAGGCATCCCTTTAATTAGCCTGTTTAAGAATTATCAAGCTGATTAAATGACAAAAAAAAGTATTAGTCTATCCATACACACCGATACCCAGTTTTTGATATCGGTGAGCATCAATATTTTGATCCTTGATGATAACCAATCAATTGGTATCATAAAAGAAAGTGGTAATCGATCAACTGGTATTCCTCAAAAATTCAAAATTTACAAGGGAATTCTGATTGGTCAAAGTTCTTTCATATCATACTATTCCTGCATCATAAAAATCGCATTTAAAATGAATACCAATTAACTACCATTTCTATGATACCGATTAATTGGTTATCAACTTTAAGTATCATGCATTTTGGGTATCATAGTCGGACTCGTGCTTCACAGCTAAGCGTCAAAGGCTCAAAGACTTCCTTCGTTCGTGTGGTAAAGGCGATGATGGAAGCCCATAAAGGATTAAGCCCTGTGAATTCACAACCTCGGAGGCCATTTCTAGTATTGTTGATAATAGGCCCAAAGTTCACTTTTTACCCCAAATGTTCTTAGACATACTGCTTTCGGCCCATTCGGTCATTCCTACTGTCTTCTTTCCACGTGGCCAACCCTCCAACCATTGGCATCAGAGGCCCATCTACTTTGTACGTTCTAATCACAACGTTTCGTTAGAGACCATGTAATTATTCAAAGCATTTTTTTTGGCGGATCCAGATTTTCAAACCATCCTTCACCTTGACGGTCAGACCATTCGGTCCAAAAACCGGTCAGGGTATAATTATATCGGCTCTGTTTCACCCTTAAACCGTCTCAAAATCTGTTGAATCAGTCAGTGGCCCGTTGACCCAGGCTGTTGAACTATCGATCCATTCAATTTGAATAACGGTTTTTAGGTCAAATTAAATATTATTTTTTTTTTACTTTTAATATTTTAAAACATCATGGCTGATCTATTTGGAGTGGACGGTCAAACCACTGAACCAAAAACCTGTGGCCAAATCTAAAACGGTTCCAGTTTGGGTCAACTTTTAAAACATTGGGTGGCATTGTATGTAAACATTCCGCAATTTGAGCAAATTTTTGTGTGTTGGTTCGAAGGATGAATGTTTTTCTGTATTTTTTTTAACCTTTTCTGTATTCAGTTGATCTGGAAATGCAATTCCACCAAGAAAACGACCTTTTAAACCACAACCATGCAGTTTACTTCTATATATACTTGACCAGTTTTTTGATTGAGACAAGCTAAGCTGCTCTTTGGTTCTGGGGCTAACTGCTGTCCAATTAACTGTTGGCCCAATCCAGTGATAAAACAGTCCAGTGTCCGGTCAAAGTCTAACAACACTATCTCGAAGGCCCAAGAAGATGTGATGAATCAAGATGGAATAGATGGGGTTGAGGGGTTCCATTAACTTGTATTATTTATATGCGGTTAATCCACCGGTAGCCATAATCCAACTCAATTCATTTATCCAGTTGGTGGTTCAACCCATTTCCAATCCACTAAGTAAATGGACTGGTACAGGTTATAAATGGGTGGGTCTAGGTGGATTGGATGGGTTCAGCAGGTTGTTGGGTGTGAAATTGCCATGCACCTCTATATCTCTTTGTGAGAGGATTTGTTGTTGAGGATATGGGGATTGTAGAAACATAAAGCCACTTGATAAGGATTGAATTACTAACAGCTCCTGGAGATTGGCAATGTGATAACTGACACAGCTCCTATCATGCCATTAATTTCTATTGGGCTGGTGACATGTTTGATGTCGATCGTGTCTTTCTGAAATTCTCTCACAAGCTTGAACCATTGATCAGGGTCCAATGTCAATCTATTTTCTCCCAGTCAAGAGTCAGAATCGAAATCGAAATTAAAATCAGTCGGAATGGATTTTCATTCTCAAAGAGGGGGAAAGGATGGCCATTTCCTCAAATAGGGAATACCATTCCACCAGAAATGGGAATAAAATTCCGATTCCTCCCAATCAAATAGCTGGAATCGAAATGGCCACGGAACCCTAATTGCCATTTGGCTTGAATTGAGCCAAGTCATGAGAAAGGAAGAAACGTAGTTATGGGATTGAAACTAGTTCTGAATAGCAATTAATAATAATAATAATAATCTATATATTCAACTGAAAAGAAAACCAAGAAAGAAGAGAGGAACAAGGGATATGAAATTCCACAAATGCAAAATTACCTTCTATTAGTAAGTAAAATACACAATTCATCGAATCTCTGGTTCAATTAAGAACATATCTCTATCTCAATAAACAAAAAAAAAGCAATGTACCAGAATTCGGATCAAACGTAGTAATTCTCTAATTGAATATCCTTCCCATGCAAAGGCACATACTCTCCAAGGTAGACCTCAAGGTGATCCGCCAAGCAGGACTTGTCTATGTTCTCATGGTGATACGACTTGCAGACAAAGTAGATAACAGTTTGGACGACCAAAGCCAGGAGCATCATCACGAAGAGAAACATGCAGCAAATGATCCCAAACACAACTCGGTCCCCAATCCCCAATGAAAACCCATGAACAACGAGCTTCTCAAACGCAGAATGGATTGCTGCAAAACCAAAATTAAGCACAAGAAAAATTGCACTCGCTACCTGCGTCTTACCCTTGATCAAATCCTTGCTCTTGACCATGGCCTGCATTCCATACGAATCTTCCAGAACCGAAACCACGCTGGCCAGATGCCATACCACCGTAATGTAAACCAGTCCAACCGAGTATAGCACCAGCAGGACGAATATAATCATGGTTGCAGATCCGAAGAGGATGAGAAAAATGAGTATGATCAATACAGCCACGATGTTGTAAGCGAAGACGATGATGAAGTTCCATAAGAATGTGACCATGAGCCTCTTCCAGACCTTGGGGACTACACTCATGACCTTCTTGAACGTAATTTCCTTGGCTGTGTAGATGCAGGCGACGGTGTAGACGACCGCCGATGTTGATAAGAGGGAGAAGATGAGGACGGCAAGGAGGTACACGGCCTTGAAAAGCCAGAAGGCGGTCCACTCCGAGGAGAGGCGATCAAGAATGGTGTTGTATGTGGGGCTGTCCTCCGGGGTGTTGTCTAAGGAGTCCTGGTTGTTGGTGATGTTGGCGAAGAAGAACTCGGTGACTTGGATGTGTGCTAAGAAGATGAAGGCGAGAGGGAGGATGAGAGCTAGGGTGATCTTGATGAAGATCTCCCTCCATGAGAGGATGATCTTGATGGATTCTTTGAAGATGCCAACGATCCCCAGGAACTGGAATTCCTCTGCGTCTGCATCCATGGTTGATAGTTTCTCAAGATCGATCTTCTTGGGAGGAAGGAAGTTTTTGTTGTTGCGGGGCTGTCGGGACTCGGAAGGCAGAGTTGGGGTTGTGAGAGAAGAATGAATACGAAGATGGGTTGATGGGTCGTGGGTGGTTTCGTTTGTTGAGGGTGTTTTGATGCATTGGCGATAATGCTAATTGATTAGAAGAGCCAGCAGAGAGAGAGAGAAAGAAATGGCCTCAACTTTGAATAGGCAAGTTGCCCTTGGGTCTATAATTTGCCACCTGTCTTTATTTCAGATGGTTTAGATTTGGGACCTACCATTAAATGGGGCCCACCAAGGTCTGCTTGAACCATTGCCATTGTGTTATAGCTTGATAAGCCTTCCTAATCCTACCATGTTTCAAAAAGAGAAATAGAAATACAAGACTACCTGAACCCATCTAGATCTACCCATCTCTCCTGATGTCTCTTATTGAATTTGAAATTCCAAATGAGTCGATACGGCAAAGTTAATTTGTTATTAGTTGTTAAATCACTAAAACATCTAAGAACCACTTAAAAAGAATAAAAAATTTATTCAGAGACCTTGTCTAACAGCTTATTTTAACTTGAATGGTCATGCATTCTCACACAAAAGCATATCAAAGCTTGAATCATATATGGATAAGCATAGACATGCCTATATCTTGTCCCAGAAAATGGTGAAATGTTTGATTCGGTTTCTCTAGAAAAAAATGTTGCCTCAGACCACACCTAAGAAATAGCGAAGGCATAATCTGAGAAAACATGAATGCAATATTTTCTGAGGTTATTGCATGTTGCTGCCAACGATATCGGTATAATGATGTGGCACCAATGTGGTATCATCTAAAGCATTGGATAATGTAGACTAATGCTGAAAATCACCAGACGGTTGAATCAGAAAAATTGGGAATCAGTCACCTGATCGGTTCCGTTTTTCCTAAAAACCGGATCCCCCCCCCCCAAAATCGTTGATTTTGGTCAATGAACCGTTGAACCGGGCGGTTAACCGTTCAAACGGTTTTGACCTTTTTTATTTTTTTGAATTTTTTTTATTTTTCTGTCAGAACAGACCAAGCATTCGGTTCGAATGGTCGGACTGTTTGACCCGATAACTGGACCCTTGACCGGTTCGGTTTTAAGAACCATGCTGAAAACTGTTATACAGCAATGGTACCAAATAAACCAGTGTCATTTCCACAAAAAAAAAAAAAAAATTATGTGTCAGCATTGATACCAAGCAAAAAAAAAATGTTTTCTCAGAGAACAATGCAATAGACCTCATCCATACAACACCATTTTCGACTCTCAAGCAACAGCAACAATGTTAAACACCAGCTTAACTTACATTTGGATAAATTTCAGGATCTGTGTTTTTGAAGTCCCAATTGTAGGCTTTATGTTTATGGGCTTGGCTGCATTTGGAAGAGGTGTAAAACATCATCAGTGTAAAAATGCACTGATGACGTTTTACACTAAACCTTAAATATATATGACCGTTGTATTTTGAAATCGATATAAAAAGTGGTTTAAGTTTTACATCGATAAAATTGATGTAGTTTTTGCATCGATTATCGATTATCGATGTAAAACTTTAAATGTGATGAGGTTTTACGTCTATCATCGATGTAAAACTACACTCTATCCAAATGCACACAAAACTTAACCAAAGTGTAGTTTTACGTCAATAATAATTACACTTGTTTACCATATGCATACAAAAATGAACCGATGTAAATTTTACGTCGGTTCTTGATTTACATTACATCCAAATACAACCTAAACTGTTTTCAATTTAAATTATATTTTTAAAAGAAACATTTATCAAATACTTTCTGTCACATTTTTATTTATAACAGCACAAAGTTCAAGAGAAGCTTATCCAAACAAGGCTTAAATTCTTGAGAGTATAGAGAAGGAACATCTTAAGTGAACATATGTCCAAGAACCACAACATTTTCCTCAAATTGCAATCTTAATATATTTGTTTAATTATAGAATCAGGCTTGAGAGATAATAGGTATTATTTAGCTGTATGAGAATTAATGGATTAATTATCCTATCTACAAACATAACTGCGGAACAATTTGGTGAAGGTTCAAATGGGTTCGATTATATGATACCGAAAAATTTTACAACCAATCAACTGGCATAAAAAGGGTAGGAACCAACGAGATGAATTTTCACCAAAATTCACGAGGAATTGTGATTGGTCAATACCTTTGCGCTACATCATATCATAAATTTTCCCATAACAGTGAGGTATGTACTTTTAGAATGAAGGCATCCTTAGTGCAAGAAGCTCCTTGAAATGCAAGGTTTGGGGGATGGGGCATTGTCATGCATTTGTCCCTACAGGCTATAGATATACAATGGGGTAATTATTATTTTTTTATGGTTTAGTTAATTGATTAAGTGTATCTTTATTTTTTAAAAATTGACTGTCCCTGTCCTTATTTCTGACAATTGTTTAAAATCTTCCAAGAATCGTTAAAAATGTCTTCTTGTGTGAAGTTATATTTGTGTCCATTTTATCCTTAAAAATGGACAGCAAAAGTTAAATGTCCATTTTATCCTTGTGTGAAGTTATATTTGTGTCCTTCGTTAGTCGAGCGTGCGTAGGCAGAGTTGTCCTCTACAATGTCTTCTTACCCATGTATCCTGCTGCATCCTGCATGCGCTGCTTCACGTAATCCGAATTCCCATTCATAGTCCCTCCCGTCCCACACAAGTACTTCAGTAACCAAGACATAGACAATGACGTCGCTAGCCTCAAGAAACCCACCGCGAGGAACCCCATCACTGCTAAACCGATGGGTGATAGTTGCAGGGACCAACACCAGGCTGAAAATTACAAAGAGTGGTGTCACCACCACGATGCCACTGAGCAAAGATCCCAGATCCGTATCTGTCTCCGGCAAAGACGCAGATGGACTTTAATTTGGGGTTGGGGTGGAGCACCATCTCTGTCATTTCTCCATTTCCCTTACCGGTAAAGGAGTCACGAGAGGTTGCCGGCAAAGGCGGAGCACCTTCTCCGTCATCATCTCCATCTTCTGACCCATGTATCCTGCTGCATCCTGCATGCGCTGCATAGACAATAACGTCGCTAGCATCAAGAAACCCACCGCGAGGAGCCCCATCACTGCTAAACCGATGGTGTGATTGTTGCAAGGACCAACACCAAGCTGAAAATTACGAAGAGTGGTGTCACCACCACGAGGCCAATGAGCGAAGATCCTAGATCCGTATCTGTCCCCGGTGAAGATCTTAGATTGACTTTAATTTGGGGTTGGGGTGGAGCACCATCTCCGTTATTGTCTCCATCTCCCTTACCGGCAAAGGCGTCACGAGAGGTTACCGGTTCTGCAAAGGCAGGAATTAACGCTACCAATGCTGGTGCTGCAAAGGCGTTGGAGGGTATTTGGGTTGTAACAGAAAAGAGTCCAAAAAACTCCAAGGTTGCCGGTGATGCAAAGGCGGAAATTGACGCTGCCCGTTGAAGCCTAACTGCATTGAAGCTGGAGAAGGCCTCTAGACCTCCGTGGTGCAGCTTAATTTGACCTGCAAAAAAACAGGAGAAAAACATGTATAGAAAGACCAGAGAAGCTACAACCATTAGATGTGGAGAGAGAGAGAGAGCATATGCAGGGGTGTGTACCAGCCGCTTGTGGACGGTGGAACAGTGGAGAGCGGAGGTTGTGGGAGAGAAAAGTTACTGTTCATAGTCTCCCAACTTGAGGCGAAAAACAGAGTAGCAGCGCCAAGAACATCTCCTCTCTGTTTGTCTTTGGTAGGAATGGTTCTTTTCGTTCCCGTGGAAGTCCCTGTGAGCATACGAAGGCAAAAGAACACGGTCTGACCGTGATTTTTCTCTAGAAAGACTTCCTAAAAAGATCCATTTTATGAAGGCCGTTAGGAGTGAGTTGCTTGCCTCTTCCCGGACGCAAAGAAACTCGGCGGTGGGGTCAGATTTCTCCTTTCTTTATACTTGGACCTCCCCTTCCGCTTCCTACTCTTCTTCCTCTGAAGAGAATGTAGAGGGTATTTTGGACATTATGTAACATTAAATCATACACATAAAGTCAGGTGTAAACGGTCTTTGATGTAACATTAAATCATATCACCCCAATCCTATAGTCTACAGATATTGAGATATACGAGGTCACCTTCCTAGCGGCTAAGGGTGCTAGAGCTGGAATCATTAAAGGTTAGTTTTGCATGGCTAGAGCTATTAAGCGTCAAAAGTGTTCGGTTGAAAAAGCTGGGGCCAAAGCAATCTTAGGCACTTTGGAAATTGCGAATAGAGAGAGACTTAAGGGTGCCAATGGACCGCTGTCCAGTCCAAAATTAATTTGAACGGATTGGATGAACCAAAAGGACATAGTGGATTGGACCAATGTGGTCTAAAATATTTATTAGATTGGAGTAGACCTGGTTTATCGTAATAAATTTATATTGGATTTGGTTGGATTAAGCTAATATTCGGTCTATTGATATAAGATAAGAATATAGGTGTCAGTATACTGGGTTTGGGTTGAAACCCATCTAAAATTAAAATGAATTTGAATAAATTGGATGATCCAAACATTGAATTGGACAGGTCCAAAACGATCCAAATTATTCATTGGATTGGACTGGACCTGGTCCATTTGTAATGGACTCACATTGGATTGGATTGGATCGGACTAAATCCAGTCCAATCAACACCCCTAGAGTGACTCAAGCTTCTGTGGGCAGAGCGTTCCTCACCGCCTTGGCGAATTGCCAGCATTATTTCGGATTACAGAAGTCTTACGCACCATTTGGTTCACAAGAATAGGGGTCTGACATCGGAATCAGAATAGATTATTCTGATTCCAACTGTTTGATTGAATAGAATTGGAAGCATTTTCCTATTTGAAAGAATGGTCATTCCCTGCCTTTCTCTTAACTCTTGAGAATGAAATATCATTCCTGCTAAGTTTAATTCCCATTCCTATTCTTATCTAAATCAAACAGACAATGAGAGAATAAACCATTTCAATTCTAATTCCAAAGAATTTTGATTCCGACTGCAAACCAAGCGGACCTTTAATTCCTCGTTTTCGACGTACCAATTCTTCTATGCTCCAACATCTTGTAACCAAGTTGCTCACGGTCTAGCCAAGAATGCTTGCAACATTCAAAACATTCATACTTGGTCTACTAGCTACTACTCCTTTTCTCAATGATCTTCTTGTATCAGACTATCCTTTGAATCAATGAATGTTTTGTTTGTTTGTTTGTTCAAAAAAATACAAAAATCCTTCACATCATCAATTAATAACATTGAATTTAAGGTTCAAATTACAATAAATGAGGTACAAAGACATAAAAATAATATATTTCTCTAGTTTATATGTTAAGTGTGGCTTCAAGATATACTTGGAACACAGGGAAATGGTAGGAGTTTGTCAAACTCAAATTGGACTATAAAACACAAGCAGCCAAAGTGATTTTTACGTAGCTTGATGCTTAGAAATGTTGAGTTCATCAGATCTACCACTAGTACACGTACAAATGCCTCTCATACCTCATATATTTATTATTTTAAGTTTATTTTGATAAAAATATAGCTTTAAAAAAATAATTGCAATTGTTTCCTACTTTCTACTTTATTTATTCAAGCAAGTCAAACTGTTAATTAATGGATGGTTAGAGCAATCGACCTGCGACCCAATCATCAAATTTGGAAACCAAAATAAATTAATCTCGTTAACACTTAAAAGATACCAATTTTAATGGCTAGTTAATTATTGTCCTTTTTTCTTTTTTCTTCTTTCTAGTTTCTAGTTGATATGGTGGAGAAAAATCATAAAAGGTGATTTAAAAAGCTCATTTTTTGGTAAAGAAAAGGCTCAAATTTATTATTTTTATATATTTTGTAATATAGTGTAGTGATAAAGATAGGGATCCAAACGGATCGGATCACCAATCGAGGGCTGGCTTGTTGGTGTGTTAGCTGGGTTGTCCCAGCATTGATTTTGGATCCGATCGTATTCGGATCTTTCGATCTAATCTGATCCTGCCATGTCAGCATAGCTCTCCTTAACTCCCATTTATCTCTTAAACTATCTCTAATTCCTTTTTATCCTCTCCCTAACTTTTTATCTATGTCTATCTAAAGAAAGTTCTAATTAAAAAAAAATCATAAATATTTAAATGTTACAATCAAATTATATACTAAATTTAAAATATTTATTCAAAACACAAAAAAAAATTAATAGATTTAATAATATTCATATTATTAATAATTCAACATTTTTATAGTAACAATAAAAATTATAATTTTATGAATTATTCAATTTAAATGTTATTCAAACAATAAGAATTTAACATTAAAAAATAAAACATTATTTAAATATTTCAATAACTAAAAATCTTCAATAAAAACACTAAAAGTAACTAAATAATATAACAAAATATTTAGTATTATGTAATAACATTAAAATAAATAAAATTCAAATGATGAAAATTTTTAAATATTTTACATATTATTTAAATATTTAAATAATAAAATATTTAACATGACAAAATTTTAAATAGTTAAAATAACGAAATTATGTAATAAATTTAAAAAAATCTTAAAAGTAGAAAAATAATTATAATAGAAGTCATAATATTCATATTAATAAAAAATTAATATTTTACAAAATTAATAACGAATTATGCAATAATAGTACAATCATAATTTTATGGATTATTAAATTCAATAAATAATTAATATTTTAAGAAATTAAATAGCAATATTATTTAAATAAGTAAATAATATTGTAAATAACTAATTTCACTTATATCAATTAATGATTATAGAAAATAACTATCAACAAAATTATATTTATTAGTAATAATTTTACAGTAGTAGTGTATATTCATTATATATTTATATTTACTATAATTAATATTTATTTTATTTTCAGTAATTATTTATTGTTTTTAATAAATATTCTTTCAATAATTATTTTTAAATGTATTTTTATTTTATTATTTAATAGAAATTTATCAATAATTATTGGAGATTAAAAAACTATTATTTAACTTTTGAAATTTAATTTATCGTATTTATTGTATTTTTGTTATAAATTTATTTTTAGTAATTATATATTTTTTTATAATTTATAGATTAATACTTATTAGAGATTAAACTATTATTTAAGATTACACTATTTATTGACTAATTTCGTATATTTTCAGTATTTATTATATTTTTGTAATTATTATTATTATATTTTCATTATAAACTTATTTTCAACGATTGTGTACTTTTGTTATAAATTTTCAATAATTATTGGATATTAAACTATTGTTATTTATTAGTGATTAGACTATAAATTTAGTTGAAATTAGGAGTGTTCAATGATTGGTTCAGTTTAGTTGCAAGTTGTTTTGTCGGCCAAATCGATCTGGTTAAATCTGTAGTTTGTCACTCGATACTGATTGACCATTAGCGAAAATCCACCAGTTCGGGTTGTATCGATTTGGGTCTATTTTCGGTTTAGTTTGTTTATTCAAAAGATTTAAACTTAAAAAAATTAACTTTAAATTTCATAAATTACAATGATTTATTAAAATTAAATTACAAAAATTAAATCTATGATATAATATATTTTGGACTAACAAATATGGGAATTTTCCTACTTTTTCGTATTAAAAATTTAAATTTAAAATATAAAATATTAATATGCATATATATATATATGTATATTTATTAAACCAAAGCTGATCTGAAATACTAGAAAACCGAGTAACTCGAGTTGAGTTTGAACGGTTTGTTTATTAAAAAGTTCAAATATAAAACAATTATATACTCTTATGTATTTCTATTGTTTAACTTTCGCTTAACAAAGCACGAGTCACCATCACCATGCCTCTCCTTGCTCCATTATCCCCACCCTACATTCTCTTTGACTTTCTCTCCTCTCCCCTTCCCACCACTCCCATTAAGCCATGTCACCCAACTACTTAAAAATATTCCTATAATCTCTCTCCAAAAATATCTAATTTAAACAGGAAAGTATCATTATTGCCCCACTCCCTAATGAATTCAAAAAATGCATCCCCCCAATCTATATCCACTCTCCCTCATTTAAAATATTTATATTAATTAATAAATAGTTAAATACGATTAATATTTAATCCCACCCATATTCAATGAGTATTAAATAGTGTTATTACCAAAAGTTAATAAATATAGTTAGTAAATTACCAAAAATTAATAAATGTTGTTATTAATTAACTCATTAACAACATTTTATAGAAATTGAAAACTCTTTAACTAATTTCTATAAAATTGATAGTTATATTTAACAACTATCAAAAAGTATAAAAAATTAGTTATTGTTATATTATAACTAATAACCAAATAAAAATGGTGGAACAAAATATTATAATGTTAAAAATGAAACCATTAATTAATTTATTTTGAAAAATAAAAGATAAATTAGTGTTATTTTGTTAGTAACTACCAAATAAAAATATATATTTAATAACAATTTAAAAAAATTCAATAAATCACCATAATTACACAAATGTAATAAATTTTT